TCATCATCATCATCATCATCATCATCATCGTCGTCATCATCATCATTATCATCATCATCATCAACCGGATCATCATCATCGTGATCATCGTCGTTATCATCATCATCATTGACAGCTTGACATCAGTTTTCAACAGCGATGCTTCGCTGTCGTACTGTCGCGGTTGTGCGAGGGCTGTGATAATGCCAGTGCGTCCACACCTAAACGGGAGAATGATTAGTGTCCTCAACCAAAGCCTTTGTGTCAAAGCCTAACCGCAAGTCTGCGGTTTTTGGCGGGAAGTGCAAATACTTTGCCATTTCTACGGAACAAATCGCCACATATCCCAACCCCCAACCTGGAGGGCCAGGAGACTGTGTTCGTCAGACCTCTAACCATGGACCAACCTGGTATCAGAGACTCTGTGAGCTTCACGGGGGCATTCCCCAGTATAGCTCAATGGATCGCTGAGGTGCGCAAACCGTCGCACCACGGTAAGATCCACTCCCTTCGTGACGGTACAGTCATGGGGTGTTGTTTCAATATGCACCTTCTGTTTGAAAGACAGAAAGGAACAATAATGTTGTCCGAAATTGTATGTGGTGCAAATCAGGGGTAAGCAGACACAATAGGTTAAGCGTGAATGATGTTTGATATGCAGAGGCTGTGTGTCATATAATGGAGGGTCATAGTCGGTCGGATCGATACTTATTTTCAGGAGGGGTTTCCAGTATCGACGTGATCATTTAATGAAGAAACGTATACAGGAACATTACGGGGACTTCCTCCATTGCCAATAGCAGATGACTCCAGAACTACTCCAATGTGGGTGTTGATTCAAGTTGCTATCTACCGCAAAAGCGACCATGCTAAGTTGTCCTCTAAAAATGCCGCAAAAGTTAGCTTTTTAAAAAAGGATTGATCACTCTTGCTCGGTTTTGGAATTACGTCTTAAGGAGACATAACTGTCATCATTGACAGCATAACATCACTGTTTAATACTAATGCTTTGCTTATGTAGGAGATAACGGTGCCCTTTAATAAATATTCTATGGCCAGGAGACAAATGTGACTAACAAGTTGTGACTAGCCTTTTGTGAAAGGAGTGTTTTTTAGCCATTAGCTGATGTAAGTTTCTTTCCTGACCTGTTTAGGGTGACACGGATTGGGGATT